TTGATTTCCATAGACGACAATGCTAACATATGACGAGATTGCTATATGAAAATGACGAAGAAAGTTGAAAATATGGCTCAAAGTAATCAACCATATGAAAAAAACTAACATGTTGGCCAGCTCAAACTCTTGCAAATCTCAGGTAAACAAGACACACCTACTGCATTTGGATTGCACCAAGAGAAATCACTGGAAAAACACCAAGATTAGAACATCCGAATACACACAGAATAAACCAAAATACACAGCCGCTAAGTAGTAAACAAAAGACCACAAGTTGGTCCCACCTCTGACCCAGGTGATTACGCCCTCAAACAGGGAGCACCTGAGAACAAAAATATTTAAAAAATTTCATTGGTTCTTGCTAGGCATTTAAATTGAGACATGAGGCATGAGACACATCCATACATTCATCATGGCTGCTGCAAAGTGTCAACAACTATGGATGAGGTTTTAGCTTTGATTTGCAGTTTTCGTGATTGGCCGGGAAAAAATACATGCAAATTCTGTGCTTCAGTAACGGTGTTTGCTGTTTTTTGTGCATTGGAAATTAATACAAGAAATGCTGTCAAAAGACATTTCCTTCAAGTAAACAAAACAACATTTGGAGGTTTATCGTGAGAAATTGAGAAGACGAAAATCCTTTGGAACAGTTGTACTTGTGAAACAATGGACACATTTGTCCAGGATATCAAGGGTATTATTTGAAGTGAAAAACCACTGCTTTATCGAGGAGCAAAGTTCAATATCATTGGCCAGAGTACTAGTAATTACCCCGCACATTAATAATTGGCCTAGGCTGGTTGAAGACATGTTTAGAGTCACCGTGACTCCGGACCTCTCATTCCGGTTAATAAAACACTTATCGAGACATTGTTTTTTAAAGTGTCCAGCAGTGAACATACGAGTCTGCTAAATAGAATCAGGGGCGGCGGCACGAAATTGTGCAGGGGGGGGGGGTCTGCTAACCACCCCTCGCGTCGAAATTTAGAATCTAGACCCGGAAAAACTTACTGACCCAGGTTTGATTTTTGAGGGGAGGGAGGCAAGGGTTATTTTCGTTCAACGTAATTGCAATATTTTTTGTTCGTACAACATAAATTGAAAAAAAACAAATTCCGTAATTCTGTAATCACAGGCTAGACGTACAACGTAATCAATCAAATATTTTTTTTCGTACACTGTAAAAATGTGTCATTTTACTTGGTACGTACAAGAATTTGCATCCAAATAAAAAAAGTCGTAAAGAATAATCAAGGAAAATTACATTTTCGAAACTGTAAAACGACTAGATGACACAATTCACTTCAAAATTGAATGTCAAGGCGTAAAAGGCCCTCTAACCGAATGAAGAGCATTACGAGGGTAATATGCACATGCGTCTCTACACACGGAGAATTTGAGTCTGTAAAATGTAAAATAACCTTTATTTTCTCTGTAAACTGTAAAGACGTCTTTTTTTCCTTGTAAATTGTAAAAAGCCCTTTTTATTTTCCGTAAAACTGTACCAGATACCACCCTTGCCCCCCTCTCATTTTTGATTGGGGGAAGACAGTGGGCAGCATTTAAAAAGACCCTGTTGTGCAGACCAGGTTACAATATTAGGTTTAGTTTCCGTGTTTCATTGTATATTCATGGATTAATAGGCCACTCCTTTGCTTCAATTCCAACTATCATATCTCTGGAAATATCACTTGCTGTTTATCATCCATATTTCGATATCCCACAATGTGTTGATTTCGTGTCTGGCAATTAATTAGTCGGGAGTATAGTTTCTTATTTCCGGTTTCCGTCTGTGACATTTTCTCAGATATTCTGCAGCAGATATCGATGAAACTTGGCAGGTTGATGAATAAGTCTCTGCCGAATATGCACGTAATTTTTTTTCCAGATCTGAAAATCCTAAGTGGGTCTTTTTCATGATTTTCACCCAAAATTACCTCTCCCAACACCCCTGACAGAACAACTGAGCATGCTCAGAATAAATAATTAGGCTAAGCTTAAATTGTAATGCTAGGGTTTTTATTGATATCATGACCTGGTCGTGACCTTGAACTTAATCAGTGACAGATAGGTCGTACCATTACCAATTTCAGCAGGAAACCGTAAAGGGGTGTCAGGGCTACATTTTGAGGGGAATTACAATGGTGATACTGAAACAAACCCAGGTCCTGGTAATATACAAAAACCAAAATTAACAAAGTTTTCAGTTATCAGTTGAATACTAGATTGAGGGAAATCACTTTATGATGAGTAGTACCCACATAGAGTACTAGTACATATTAATTCAACTGTTTGCAGATGTTCCATGTATTATTTTAACATGAGCATTTTATAATTAAATGACGGGGACTGTGACATTCATGTCTTGTTTTAACTGACTATTATTTCGCAAAATTTGCCCAGCCTTGCTTCTACCAGTCATTTCCCTTTACATTCCCTTGTATTACATAACAATCTTTGTGCTGAGGCAGTTATGGTTTCACAACCATCACCAGTTCTCTTGTATAATAATTGGATATACTTAGATTAAATTAGATTAGATTAGATAGATTATAAAAAACGTTCCAAGGATTACCGGTAATATTTGCCCCCAAACCTATACAACATCCTTGAGACGCATCAATTTGTGCACGTGGCGAGGATCACGTGGTCCTCACGCGGGATAAATGGACCGGGGATTACCATCGTCACAGTGGAAAACTTTCCTATGAGATCATGTAGTTATTCTTGTCCGGGGATTTCTCGGTCGGAAAACAAAGTATAAATACGCGCGTTTACTCAAACGTTTCTAGCTTCGACTGGTAAGTTGAATGGTGTAATTGGAGGAACTGTATTGCTGATAAAACGTGTTACTGTATGTCCGATTAGTTCGTGCATCAGCTTGAAATTTAAATTGTTTATTGATCTGTGAATAACACTGGTACTGACAGTGTTGGTGAATGCCTAGTTGAAGGTCTACAATAAGTAGCGCATGCTCATTTTATAACGAGTACTGCACTGTATCCGGTTGAATTACCAGTTGATTGACTCCTATTTCCAGAGCTAGCTATCATCGGGTGATATATATAACTCACAGTACGATATAACCTAGCACGGGCTAGACCGCAAATCATCAATTAATTACAGTCGTCTATAGAGGGGCTGTGAAGTAATATATAATTCCGGTATAATAGAACGACAGAAACTAGATATTGTAGTGTCTCTTAAATTGATTTACCACGATACGCGTAACCAATCATCATGGGACTCTTAGACCGTACTAAGGATAGCGCTGTCAGCGGAAGTCAGTTATCTCACCACGAAGGGGCCGTGCTCAAGACGTCGGTAACGAATCGGAAACTTGGAGAGCTGCCTGCAAATATGGAGTCTGATCGCCTACTAGAAGAATGCAACACACTACGCCAGATGGTTGGTTCGACAAAGGCCTCATTTGTGAGTATATTATTAGTTACGTAAATCACAGTCCCTCTATAATAGAAGGGGGCTTTGCGTAAACGTTTATGTGGATAGGTTGCTGTACTACAGATACTTTGTCACGTAACAGGGGTCGGAATAATAGTAAATTAATTACAACAGTCAATTACAACTTTCTAAATAAGCAGATTTTTTTTACTGCGGTTACTGTGGTGCCCCATTTTAACTGACGTGATTAAACAGCATTTGCAGATTCAGTTCAGTTAATACTCTCTTTAAACTTGTGTTTCTTGACGGTGAAGACCAATATATCTTCCGGGAATGTACATGGTTTGTACCTTTTCTTTTTATCTGTTGCCTTGGTGATTTATCGTTTGCCGTTTATAGATCCAGTCTCCTCTCGGTTAAATTGATTGTCATTACCTGGTTGTAGCGTAGTCCCAATAGAATCAATGCCCACCACTCCCCGAACGGGCACAAATATCACGTACCCAGTGTAAATCTACTGTAACGGTGTGACGGCGTTTGTATTACCTTACATTAAAGAATCGAGTCATGCCATTGTGTCACGAAACCAAAATATACTATCACCGCTGTATCACCTTCATGTTATTGTCAACAATTTTTAAGGTCGTGACCTCAGCATTCCAACTGAACAGTTATGAGAGTGGAGGTCAAATACTCGTAGTCATGGAATATACCAGTTATCCACGGCAAAGGGGGAGATGACCCGGATAAGTTGAAACTATGATACGTAATGTCTGTATTGCGTTCAACATTCCACAGCACGTGAAAGTGATCAAACCACCGTCTGCAGTAGAGTGATCTTACTGGCTCTGTAACTTATATGTCATGGATTATTTTTAATATAATTCTATATCTAACCGTCCTAATTTAATATATTTCTGATATTTAGGTCACGAATCGGCATACTGAACAGTCACTGCCCTCCGACTTCCCAGCAGGTGATGAACTTCCGATTCCATTCCGGCTGATTCGTGGAAGGGGCGAGGTAACATTTGTATGCTTCCTTTATGTTTATTAAATTTTAATTTATGTGGCCAACAATTCCAGGATTGAAGCTGTGCCCACTCATACTATCATTTCTGATCATCACGTCGGAGTCGATTACAGACTCGAAAAAATGAGGACACACAGTCCCTAGACTGGAAAAGTTGGGACTTCTTATAATTAATTGTCAATTAGCCTTTTTAACGTGATCACGAAAACTAGCGTGACTGCGAAAGACATCCCGTCAGGATTTCTCTAGCGGTCAG